CTGCACCGCGCGCGCGGCGCCAGGATGGTGCCGTTCGCCGGCTGGAGCCTGCCCGCGCACTACGCGCCCGGCCACCTCGAGTCGCACCTGCACACGCGCCGCCACTGCTCGCTCTTCGACGTGTCGCACATGCTGCAGGTAGCGGGGCCGGGCGGGCGGCGGGGCGCCCCGCGGCGCCCTCCTCACCCCGCCGCCCCTTCGGCACCACCTCCCCGTGTCGCCGTCTCCCCGTGTCGCCGTCTCCCCGTGTTGCCACCTCCCGGTGTCGCCATCTCCCGGTGTCGCCGTCTCCCCGTGTCACCGTCTCCTCTCCTCACTATCTCCTCCCGCCACCGTCTCCCCGTGTCGCCACCTCCCCGTGTCGCTGTCTCCCCGTGTCGCCGTCTCCCCGTGTCGCCGTCTCCCCGTGTCACCGTCTCCCCGTGTCGCCATCTCCTTGTGTCGCCATCTCCCCGTGTTGCCACCTCCCGGTGTCGCCGTCTCCCCATGTCGCCGACTCCTCTCCTCACTATCTCCTCCCGCCACCGTCTCCCCGTGTCGCCGTCTCCCCGTGTCGCCGTCTCCCCGTGTCACCATCTCCCCGTGTCGCCTTCTCCTCGTGTCGCCGTCTCCCCGTGTCACCGTCTCCCCGTGTTGCCACCTCCCGGTGTCACCATCTCCCTGTGTCGCCATCTCCCCGTGTCGCTGTCTCCTCTCCTCACTATCTCCTCCCGTCATCGCCGTCTCCTCCTGTCGCCGTCTCCCCGTGTCACCATCTCCCCGTGTCGCCATCTCCCTGTGTCCCATCTCCTCACTATCTGCCCCCTGTTGCTCTCCCCTCCTGTCACCATCTCCTCGTGTCATTGTCTCCTTGTGTCGCTGTCTCCTCACTCTCTCCCTCCGTTGCTGTCTCCCTCCATCTCCATCTCCCTCCGTCGCTGTCTCCTCCCGTCGCCGTCTCCCCATGTCGCTGTCTCCCCATGTCACCGTTTCCTCACTATCTCCCCGTCCCTCTCCCCTCCCGGCGCCGTCTCTTCCTGTCACTGTCTCCCTGTGTCACCATCTCCCCATGTCACCATCTCCACGTGTTGCCATCTCCCCGTATCACCGTCTCCTCACTATCTCCCCCGTCACTCTCCCCTCCCGTCACCATCTCCCCATGTCACCATCTCCTTGTGTCACTGTCTGCACGTGTCACCGTCTCCTCTCCTCACCATCTCCCCCGTCGCTCTCTCCTCCCGTCGCTCTCCCCTCCCGTCACCATCTCCCCGTGTCACCATCTCCCCATGTCACCATCTCCCCGTGTTGCCGTCTCCCCATGTCACCATCTCCTCTCCTCACTATCTTCCCCCTATTGCTCTCCCCTCCCATCACCATCTTCCCGTGTCATCATCTCCCCGTGTCACCGTCTCCCCATGTCACCATCTCCTCCCGTCGCCGTCCCCTCCCATCGCCGTCTCCTCGCTAGAGCCGCGTGTACGGCCGCGACCGCGTCAAGTTCATGGAGAGCCTCGTGGTCGGCGACATCGCGGAGCTCAAGCCGGACCAGGTACCCGGGGCGCCGAGCGCCACGTGCACGGTGCCCCTGCAGCCCCCGTGTGCCTAATGTCACCCGGTGCCACCGAGTGTGCAGCCCTTGCAGCCCCCTACAAGGGGTGGGAGCTCCCCAGCCCTGCCCTGGCAGGACCTGCACACACGGGCACGCGGGGACGGGCACCGCAGGGCTGGGCAGGGAGGGCGCACTGAGCAAGGAGGAGGGGATGCAGGCAGTGAAAGAGCCCCGCTGGCCACGCGTGTCCTACCCACTGGCCACACATGTGTCCTACCCGCTGGCCACGCATGTGCCCTACCTGCTGTCCACCAGGTGTCCTACCCGCTGGCCATGCATGTGTCCTACCCACTGGCCATGCGTGTGCTCTATCCGCTGGCCACCCATGTGTCCTACCTGCTGGCCATGCATGTGCCTACCTGCTGGTCACATGTGTGTCCTACACACTGGCCACACGTGTGTCCTACCCCCTGGCTACTAGTGTGTCCTACCTGCTGGCCACCCAGGCGTCCTACCCGCTGGCCACCCGCGTGTCCTGCCCACTGGCCACCCAGTGCATCCTACCTGCTGGCCACCAGTGCATCCTGCACACTAGCCACTCAGGTGTCCTACCCACTGGCCACCCATGCGTCCTACACGTGGCTCCTTAGGGCAGGCCATGCTCTCCCCTGCAGGGCACCCTGACGCTGCTGACCAACGAGAAGGGCGGCATCGTGGATGACCTCATCGTGACGAACACCTCGGAAGAGCACCTGTACGTGGTGTCCAACGCGGGCTGCGCCGACAAGGACTTGGCCATCATGAAGGTAGGGGCACTGTCCTCGTGCCCAGGACAGGGCCGTGGTCCCATTGCCGTTCGCTTGGGCTGGGCTCACCCAAAAGGTGGACAAGCAGGACCTAAGCGCCCTGTAGGCTACAGGAACTCGTCTGCCCACCCTGCAGACCAGCTAGGGCTGGTGCCTGCAGCTCTACAGAGGCCAGGGTGGTCACAGGGTGACCTGCCTTCTGCTTGTCCCTGTGGCGGCAGATGTTGTCGTGTCACCGTTACAGGACAGAGTGAAGGAGCTGCAGGCGGCCGGCAGCGACGTGCACCTGGAAGTCATGGACAACGCTCTGCTGGCTCTGCAAGGTAGAGGGCTCCCTACACGGGCTGGCACCAAGTGGCATCACGAGGGAATCTCACCCGTTCCAGGGCACCAGGACCCTCTCCGTGCTGCGAACCAGCCCCTTCCCTTTTCCACCATGCTGCTTGTCCCCAAAGCCACCTGTGTGTCTCCCCAGGTCCCTCCATGGCACGCGTGTTGCAAGCAGGGCTTTCCAACGACCTGGGCAAGCTGTCCTTCATGAACAGCGCGACAATGACCGTCTTTGGCGTGCCGGGCTGCCGAGTCACGCGCTGCGGCTACACGGGGGAAGACGGCGTGGAGGTACCACCGAGAGGCAGGGGCTGGTGCCCATCGAGACCGTCCTGCTGTGGCGTGGGGCTGACGCGGTGCCACAGGAGGGCAGGCGGCGCGCGCCATGGGGATGTTTCCGCTTGCTGCCCGTGCCCGTGTGCCCGTGCAGATCTCGGTACCCGCAGCGCGGGCCGTGGAGCTGGTTGAGCGGCTGCTCGGGGACCCCGAGGTGTGGCTGGCCGGGCTGGCGGCCAGGGACAGCCTGCGGCTCGAGGCCGGGCTCTGCCTCTATGGGAATGACATCGATGAGACCATCACGCCGGTGGAGGCCAGTCTGGTGTGGACCTTGGGTAGGTTTTGGCCACGTTCTCCCTCTGTGTCCACCTCAGGGGGGCCCTAGCAGGGAGCGGAGAGGCGAGGTGGGCCTGGAGGAACAACGTGAGGGCCCAGGGGGCCCACAAAGGGGTCACCAGAGCGGGGTGCCCTGGGCACAGGCGAGGAGGGAGGAGGCCACGCTCCAGCCCGCGCCTGTCTCCGTGCCTGCAGGCAAGCGCCGGCGCACGGCCATGGACTTCCCCGGCGCCGCCGTCATCATGGCGCAGATCAAGGAGAAGCCGAAGCGCAGGCGCGTGGGGCTCACCTCCGAGGGGCCCCCCGTGCGGGCGCACACGGCCATCCTGGGACCCGAGGGCAGGCGCATCGGTAGGTGCGGGCTGGCGGGGACAGCGCCCGGGATGCCCCGAGAGGCACCCATGGGTGCCGCGGGAGGAGGCGTGCGGCCCCGCTCAGCCCGCTGTGCCCCCGCGGCGCCAGGCACGGTGACCAGCGGGTGCCCCTCGCCCTCCCTGCGCAAGAACATCGCCATGGGCTACGTGGAGGCCGCGTACGGCCGCGCGGGCACGGCGCTCGCCGTGGAGGTGCGGAAGCAGCAGCACCCGGCGCTCGTCACCAAGATGCCCTTCGTGCCCACCCACTACTACATGGCCAAGTGAGGCCCCCCCCCCAGCCCCCATTAAACAAAGGGTCCCATCCCACTGCCCTGGCCTCAACTCCGGCGGCGGCGGCGGCTCCGGAAGCAGGCGGCGGGGTGGGCACAGCGGTTTAATGGCGGCAGGTGGCGGGTCTCACTCGCGGTGCGTCTTCGCGGGCTCCGTGGAGGCTCCTTCCCTGCGGGGCACACGGGGCAGCAGTCAGCGGGGCCGGGCATGGAGCGGGGTGGGCGCTTTGGGAGGGCAAACGGGGCCGGGAACAGCTGGGAGGGCTTCTGCCCGCAGGGAAGGGGCAGGGATGGTCGGGAGGGATCTTGCCAGGCTGGGAAGGGGCAGGAATGGCCGGGAAGGATCTTGCCAGGCTGGGAAGGGGCAGGAATGGCTGGGAAGGCTCCTG